GGAGAGGGAGAGGAGGGAGAGGGAGAGGGAGAGACACTAGTTAGTAAGTTACTGCACTGAATGAGGAAAGTACAGGATGATGACTTAAGATCAGGATAGTGTGATGGAGATGAGAAGATAATATGAACAGGCGGAAGTTGCTAATGGACTGAATGTGAGGGGAAGGAAGAATCCAAGATTGACTCTCACATTTCTGGGCTTTAGGTAATGGTGGTGACATTTAATCAAGTGTCAAAGACCTAAGGAAGATCAAACTTGAAAGAATTGGCAAATCACCAAGCTTGGAAAGATAGGTGGGAATCAAGTCCATAGAGGATATATTAAGAGTAACATCCCGTGAGAGTTTGAAAGGCAAATGTCAGATAAGTGGTTGTATATATAAATATGGGGCTCAGAGGACAGTCCTCAGCTAGAAAAAAAAATGTAGAAGCATAGCCTACAGAAGGAACTTGGCCACAGCCATGATCGTGATGATGCTGGGAGCTATGGTCTCTACAAAGAGATGGTAAGAGGCAGGGCTTCAAGACTGTACCCTGAAATAGTGCAACATGTATAAATTATTTGTAAGAACAGGAGCCAGTAAAGGGGTCTGAGAAAGAGTAAACAGTGAGGTAAGAACAAGTCAGCACAGTGTGGAAGAGCAGAAGTGAAAGAGGGAAATGAGGGGGGTGGTCAACTCTTTTTAAAGGCTGCTGAGATGAAAAAAGAACAATGTTGAAAATGAAGGTTCTTTTTGACCTCAACAGGTACAGTTTTAAAAGGATTGTTGAGCAGAAGGCACAAGGGGCTGGAAGTCTGAGTGGTGAAGAACTGGAGACAGAATTTGTGGAGATCTGCTGTGATGATAAACAAATAGGGAAAAGGCAGTACTGAGGAGTTTTATTTAAGACATGTCTGTGTGCTGATGAAGAGGGAAAGGCTGGCCATGGAGGACAGGGGCACAACCAAGGGTGGGAGGTCCTCCAGCAGGGGACAATGGAGCAGGGCTGGAGCCCAAGTGGAGGGACTGACCTTGGAAGGTGGGAGGGACAATTCCTCTGTTGGACCAGAGTTGAGCTGGGGGTGTGGATTCCCATGTAGTCCCACCATATACACTTAAAGAAGGAGAGGATCTGACTAAGTTTGTTAACCTTTAACACAAGTGCTTTCAAGTATCTCCAAGGTGCCTGCACATTCCCTTGGCTAAGGCACTTATCTTGACTCATCGGCTCTGCCCAGGGAAATGCACTGATTTTGTGGACAGCACCTTATGCAGAAAGAATACTTTTCTCAAGAGGCATCTGTGGGCATCCGTTAGGCATTGAGCATTTCTGATTATTTTTTCAGAATAACTTTATACTCAAGTCCCATAATTTAATTTATATTGTAGAAGGCTAAACTTGTTTTGCTTTTTCTTTATAGTTTGTTTCTTTAAACAATTAAAAAAATTCATGATTGTTGTAGAAAATTAGAATATACAAATGAGAAAAATAAACAAATTTTAAAACTTGAAATTCAGCATGGTTAATGTCTTATTAAACAGAACACAAAAAGTGAAACCATAAAGAAAGATTGATCAAGCTGGGTGTGGTAGCACAGCCTATACAGTAGCTCAAAAAGCTGAGCCAGAAGATCACAAGTTTGAGGCCAGCTTCGGCAACTTAGGAAGACCCTGTCTCAAAATAAATAATCAAAAGGGCTGGGGATATAGCTTGTGGTAGAGTGCTTACCTAACTTGTATGAGACCCCAGGTTCAATCCCCAGTACTACCAAAGAAAAAAAAAGTGAAGACAAACCATGCCATAAAAGTTATTTGCAATATATACACCTGACAAAGGATTCTTTCATAGAAAATATAAGAAACTTCTAAATATATAAAAAAAAGAAAAAGACAATCCAAAAGATAGGCAAAAAATTTCAACAAGCACTTCAGAAAAGGATTATCCAAATCACAACTAAACTTGATATTTTCAACCTCCTTAATCATCAAGGAAATGCAAATTAAAGTTTAATGTGGTACCACTGCGTTCCCAGCAGAATGAAAGTGAAAGTCATACCAAATGTTGGTGAGGAGGTAGAGGAATAGAAGCTTATAAGTTAAAAGTTGATACAAATTGAGTGGTATGAACAGCTGACATATGTACACACTATGCCCCAACAATCTACTCCTAGGAATACACCCCCCCAAAAAAGTGTACACATATATCAAGGGACATTTACTGAAATGTTCATAGAAGTCTCTCTTCACAGTAGTTTAAACTGAAAACATCATAAATGCCTCTCTGCTGTAGAATGGATATTATGGTATAAAGAGCAGAATGCTGCAATGAATGAGCAATCTATAGTTATACAGTGAATATATAGCAAATTTATAATTATTAGTGACTGCATTATGAATCTTATAAACATAATAGTAATTAAAAGGAGTAAAGTAGAACAGCAAATATTGTATGCTTCTGTTTACATGAAATACTAAAAGGCAGAACCTGGCTGTGGTGGCATAAGCCAGGATTATGGGTACCCTTGGTGGGGTTAGTGATTGGAGGCACAGAGGCTCCTGAGGGGTTATAAGGTTTTGATTTTAATCTAGGTGCAAGTTACATAGTTATGTTCACTGTGAAAATTCACCAAGATATATACTTCTGATCTGTGTATGCCACACACACAAACACACACACACATACACCTATAGTGGACTTAATATATATAGTGTGCTATATGTGTGTATATATATATATATATTAAAATATTTTTAGTTGTAGATGATACAACACCTTTATTGTACCTCTTTATGTGGTGCTGAGGATCGAACCCAGTGCTTTACACATGCTAGGCAAGTGCTCTACCACTGAGCCCCAGCCCCAGCCCTATATATGTATGTATACACACAAATATACATAATATATATATATATATTATTTTAGTGAAACAATTACTTAAATTGTCTTTCTCTGAAATCTGTCATTCAGAGATAACTATTGTTAACATTTTGGTAAATAAACATTCGAACTTCCTGGGTTCTTTTTAAAACCATTAAATATGATAACATCCACCATTAATATTCAATCAATATTTATTGGTCACCTGTGTGCCAAGGATTGTTAAAAAGACTGAAATAGTAAGATCCCAATCTTAATGATCAAACTCTAGTTGAAGAGAGATGTAAAAACTGTATTAAATAAAATAATTCCAGCTAAGGACAAATGTTATAAAAGAGCAGTGAATAAGGTCCAGTGATAGTGCCAAGTCTGGAATGTGCAGCTTTTCCAGATGGGCTTTACAAAGAATGATCTAAGTTAGGGAGAAGACAAAGCCCTGTTGATAAGAACTGTGGAGAGCAGCAGGAGATTAAGTTTTGCAGCAGCAAGATTGATAAGAAGCTTAGGTCAAACAAAGAAGCCTTGGTTTATTCCATAGGCTTCTGCTACAGATAATGACTCTCTACACTTGGCTTCTAGGACATGTGGCTCTCCGGGGTTTCCTACTTCATCCTACCTCACTGCTTCTCCTTCTCAGTCTTCTTTATTAGCCCCTACTCTTTTCCCCAACCACACTGCTGGAACATCATGGGGCTCAGTCCTTCAGCATCTTCTCTTTTTTACTCCTACTTCTTGTAGTCATCTTTCTTAACCTCTCTCCAGACTTTTTTGCATTCAATTGCTCACTTTGGATGTCCAATAGGCACCTCCAAAATAATGTTCCCCAAACAGAATTCCTGAATTCCCCTCTCAAACTCCCCTCTCTTAGATGATGGCAGCTTCATTGCTTCTGCTGTCGAGGCCCAAAACCTTGGAGACAACCTTGGCTCCTCCTTTTCCTCTCACATGCTTCACCTACTTTATCAGGGAATATTGCTGGCTCTATTTTCAAAAATATGTCCAAAATCTGACCATTTTTCAATTCTCCACTCTTGTCTCACCCATCATTATCACTGTGCATTCTGCTGTGGCCACCTGGCTTCCACAAACATGCCAAGCATGTCCTTTAGTCCTAGGACCTTTGTACTGGCTGTTCAGTCCTGGATGCTCTCAGACAGCCACATGATCAACTCCCTCATCTCTACTTTGCTTTTTTTTGTTTTCCCTTTTAAATGTGTCCTTCACTATAAAGCATACTCTGACCACCTAGTGAAGAGATGTGACATCACCACCTTACACCCTGGATCTCTTTGTTCTACTTTTCCTTTTGTCCAAATCACCAAATACCTTCTAACACACTGTATAGTTTCTTATTTATTATATTTATTGTTTATTTATATATTTATTGTTTATCTGAGTGGATACCAGCAGATGGGTCAGATTCATAAGAACATTTGCTTTCTCATATAACTTTCTTTCTGATTATAAAAGTGCTATGTTATAGAAATTTGGAACATGACAAAAACTATAAAGAATAAAAGAACCTATAATCCCACCACCAAAGATGGATATTGTTAATATTTTAATGTATTGTCTTTATCATCCTTATTTCCCACAAAGATTTGTCTTTACCTATTGCCATCATATTAAGGGTATGCCATCATATTGAGGGTAACCCTGCAGCACTGAAGGGTTTTAGGTGTATGGGGCGGTGGGGGTACAATATGATGGCATTGTAGAAGGATCTAAGGGCAAAGAGCCCAGTATAAGAAAATTTGATATAAACTCTAGGTGCATGGAGAGAAGAGAAACAGGAGGCAAGCATCATCAGGAGGAAGCTTGTGACACTTCAGCTGACAGGTAAAAAGGGTCTGGACAGGCAGTGTCAGGGGTCACACTGATAATAATGACAAATTGCATTAAAAGTGAGATTCAAAGTATTACATAGTATTCTTAAATAGATCTAGTCAAGTTTTTTTTAACTTCACTTTAATGCCAATGAGAAGGAAGTTAAGTCAATATTTTTGTTATTGATCAGAATGTGTGAACATGGTACAACCTTTATGGAGAGTATTTTAGCAATTTTTATCAAGTATTTAAAAGATCTTCATGTGATTTGACTTTATAATTCCATACCCTGGAATCTAAACTACATATGGAAAAAGTTTTATGCAGATAGATGATGAAGACAGCTTCATGATAACTATAGAGAAATATAAACGATTAACCAGTTAAACAAATTATAATTTTTACATAATGATATAAATTTGTATCTTAAAGGATTTGTAATCAGGTGGAAATTGCTCCAGGAGTGTTTGTTTATTTTTTTTAAATGGTGCTGGGGATTGAACTCAAGGCCTTGTGCATGCAAGGCAAGTACTCTACCAACTGACATATATCCCTTGCCCCCAGATGTGCTTTATAATATAAATATAAGTATAAAGCAAAATTATTTCAGGTTTGACTATAACCATTAAAGGAAAGACACATGGAAATAATCTTTAGTGAAATCCACCAAAAAAATAGTGTTTTTTTTTTCTGGAGTAAAACTTAGATGATTCATTCATTCACTTAAATTACTTTTATGACTCCAAATTTTCCCATGAGTATGTACTTCATTTAGAGAGGAATCTACCATTTTAGATATGTGGACTTGAATTCTAAAAAATGTTGTAAGTCAGTGGCAACACTCACCTGAGTAGATACCAGCAGATGGGTCAGGAGAACTAGAAGAAGAATGTACCACTTTTTCTTCTCACAAGCATCAAAAAATATAATGCCCCAGAACACGTGCAGCAATATGATAACCAGCGTCATGAAAGCTGAAAGACAGTCAACCATTAGTGCCCAGTCCTACAGACACCAAAGGCTGCTGAACATTCTTTCATTGTGCACAGGAATGCAAAAAAGAGAAGTGTGAGTCTAAACAGCTTTTCCCCAATTAGCCTGCAGCCCTACTTAAGAAAAAGAACTTTTTCAATTAAAAACAGTAACTTCTGTTGAGTCAAATCTTCTATTACTAAGGTAGGATTTCTCTTTAGAAGTTTTCTTAAAAGGTCAATGGGAGAATAAAATAATATTAGAATTATAATTATCTAAGATTATTTTTAAGCAACTGGCACTAAATTTGATCAGTGTCCACAGATTTTCTTGGGAATACAGCTTCTGTGTGTTATGTGTATCCTATGTTCTCGATAACATTCTTTTATTTAAAAGTGGAAAAATTTAACATATACTGCAAGTTTTAGCATTAAAAAAGTTATATAAATTTCTTATCTGGTCACACAATAAAGAGATCATTAGCACCCACCAGGAGAAATCTAAGTCTGGCAATTCTCTTTCATACTGCTGGCAGATAAACAATCTAGCATTACCAATAAAGTGGAGAACATTCATTCTCTATTTCAACTCCAAGATCTATGCTATAAAACAGTTAGTTCTCAATCAATAGATCACCAGAACCTGAGGACTTACAAGAAGTGCAAAATACTGGAATCTACCACACACCTAATTTAGAAACAATGGTGCTAAGAGCCAATCAATTCCAGTTTAAATAGCCTTCCAGGTCATTCTGATACATGGCCAAGTTTGAGAACCACTGCTCTAGAGAAATTCTTACAAATATTCAAAGGAGATATACACACAAATATTTATACCAGCACCATTCGTAATAACAAAAAACGTTCATCATTGGGGTTGGGGATGTGGCTCAAGCGGTAGCGCGCTCGCCTGGCATGAGTACGGCCTGGGTTCGATCCTCAGCACCACATACAAACAAAGATGTTGTGTCCACCAAGAATTACCTGAATGGTGTATTCACACAATGGACTAATATATGTGATCTAAATATAAATTATCTCAAGAATATAATGTTGAATGAAAAAAATCTGTATAAAAATGCATAGTTTCATTTACTTGAAAAACATGCAAGACAATATTCAAAAGACATAACTGTTGCAATTGGAGGAAGGCAAGCTATTAAATTTGGTGTGACAGTGTCATCATTTTAGTAATTATGATAAATATTTTAACTCAAGTAGGAGCAGAGCAATAGTTTTTAAAACTTTAAGACTATAGAAAACTAAACTAAAATGACATATTTTAATTCCAGAGATGACTCTGGAAAGAGAATTTCTCCTAGAGATAGATCCTGTGATAGTGTTGAGACCACAACAATGCCCAGGAGTTAAGGTTTTAAAGTTTCTTACATCAGAAAGGTGGTAACTGGCACAAAAGCAAACCCTGAGTTTTTAAAATAATTATTATAAAGTACTCACGCTTTAAGGGTTTCTAAAACCTAGATGTCATGAATATTGGAACCAGCCAAGTATGCTCTTATGGTCAAGTCCTATTTGGGAAATGCTCTCAGGAAAAACCTTCAGTCTATTCTGTAAAGCATTATTCTGTATGTTGTAGGCAAGTATCTTCAATATATCATTAGCCCTCAACTTGCTTCCAAATTTTCTGTATTTCTTAGTCCTTCTTGCTAAAAAGTCTTTGATAGGTTGACTTTGTCTCCAAAGTCCAGTACAGACATCTCAGACTAGCATTCAAGGCCCTGTACAATCTGGACCCAAATTCTGACAATATACCTCTACTAATGTATCTTCAAATACATCCTTAAAGTAGAAAACCAGAACTCTTCTTTTCTTTGACCATACTGTTTTTTTTTAACAGATTTATCCTCTTGGCTACATACTCTACACCTCACCAATATCTTTCCCCATTTCACCGCAACCAAATCTTACTTTTATTTAAGATCCACCTCAAATGTAATTTCTTCAGTGGATTCTTCCCTGATGTATACATTTCACATTTTTTTTAATAGTGGGTATTGAAACCAAATTTGCTTTACCACTGAGCTACAACCCCAGTCCCTTTTATTGTTTTTAAATATTTTTGAGACAGGATCTTGTTAAGTTGCCCAGGGTGGCCTTGAACTTGCAATCCTTCTGCCTCAGCTTCCCAAGTTGCTGGGATTACAGGCATGTGCCATAGTGCCTGGCTTCTACTTTGTTTTTTAATCTGTACTCTACACATATTTAGTGAGCACTTAGATAGTCTGGCCTGAATATTATACATAGATCTTTGGTGTCAGACAATCCTGAGTTAGAATCATGCCAGCTCCATTGTGTATCTTTGGACAAGTTATTCAACTTCTCCATTTCCTTCATTTCTAAAGTGAGGATAATACCTCACAGAAAGTATAGTGCTTGGCAAACCACAGCTTTTCAATAAATGTTGACTACTCTGTGCTATGGTTAATGAATAAGCCAGGGTCCTTAGTGAGCCGTACTATAAGGTGGGAAAGTGAAGCAAAGCAGCAAGCAATTACCACATTTATCCAAATCCCCTGAGTATTTGGCTATGTATTTAAAATGCATTCTTTTTCATTCTTAAGATTTTTTTCCCTTTGAATTTGTATTACTCTTACATTTATTTTCTTCCTGTCTTCTTCCATTATCTGCATAGGTATTTATTCAGTGCTCAGTATGGGACAGGTCTGTGCTAAGCACTGCATCTTCCACAAAACAGTTTCTGGGAGCCTTGCCTCATCTTTCAGCTTACTGTTTTATTAACATAATATCTAAAGGAAATCTCTCACATATCAAAATATTATACATTTCTACCTGACTACTTATTTAATAGCCACCACTGGTTTCTGACTGGCTTTGATTGGTCATCGTGAGCCCTTACCATCACAAGGTACTATGGCAGAATACTGAAAGTTATTGTTTATTCCCTCTGCAACTGTTAAGAGATCCAACAGACACTAAGACCTGGGTATTTGAACTACCCTGCCACATTCAGGTAGCTATAACTGCATATATGCTATTTTGATACTTCCATTAGCAAATGGAATTTATTTCAACCAGAAATGAAGGTTTTCTAGCAGCAAACCTCTCTAGAGAGCCTCCTAATTTTTTTTCTTTAGAGAGAGAGAATTTTTTTTTTAATATTTATTTTTTAGTTTTTGGCGGACACACATCTTTGTATGTGGTGCCGAGGATCGAACCCAGGCCGCATGCATGCCAGGCAAGTGCGCTACCCCTTGAGCCACATCCCTAGCCCAAAAGAGCCTCCTAATTTTTAAGCCTTTCTCATTAAAGTCCTAAAAGTCCTTTAACGATTAGCCCTAATATTTGCTTTGTTCCAATATTTTTCTTAGAAAAAAAAACCTTCTCCAAATATAATACCAAAGTTAGCTAATAGATTAATAAAAGGAGCTTCCAGAATTTCCAATAGTTTAGAATATCCAGAAAGCTGAACAATTTTAGCAAGTACTGTACCTCTGTTTGTGACAACTGTAGCTGTTTAGTTTGACAATGGATTTCCTCTTCTAATAATCTTCTAAGGCTAAATCTCTAGGCAAACAATGTTTCAATCTAAACCTTTTTTTTTTTTTTTTGGTACTAGGAATTTAATCCAGGGGCACTTTACCACTGAGCTATATCCCCAGTCTTTTTAAAAACTTATTTACTAATTTATTAGGTACAGGGGATTAAACCCAGAGGTGCTTTACCACTGAGTGACATCCCTAGCCCTTTTCATTTTTAAAGACAGGATCTAAGTTGTTTAGGGCCTAAGTTGCCAAGGCTGGCCTCGAACTTTCAATACTCCTGCCTCAACCTCTGGAGTCACTGGGATTATAGGCATGTGCCACCACACCTGGCTTGATCTAACCTATGTAAAAACAAAAAAGTTTCACTGTTATCTTTAAGAGGTAACATTTAGTATTGCCTCTTTTACTAACTTCTTTAATGAATAAACCCCAAATATTCCAGCATTCAGATCCCTAAGTACCATGTCCTTCTCTCATTCCTGATATAAACTTTTCTGTCCCTATGAAAACAATGGCCTAAGATAGCAACTAATGCTAACTCTGGATTCCTGAGAGAACATAAACTGCTGTAATCTGTAATCTAGGTCTCTCTTAATCACCTCAGTGTGTTTCTGACTACGTTAGAGAGACATAAGGGCTGCTTATGGGTGGTGGCAGCAACAGAGACTTCTCCAAACCCAGCACTTGGCCCTTGCTGCCTAGAAGCAGGCTGTGAATACCAAAGGGCTTTTGGCTTCTTTTCTAAGGGTCTGAGGTTTCTGGGTTCTATGAAGTGGGAGCCTGCCCTCTACTCCTCCAGGTTATAGGAACCCTCTGGATTTGAGAGAGATCTCCAGTCAAGTGTAAGCAGGAGTCAGGTCCCAGATATTGTTCAGTATTAAAATTCTCCAGTATTAAATTTATTATCCATGTTTTGAGCAACTAACAAAAAATTATTATCCATTATTTTAAAAAATACATGTTAAAACCATCTCATATTATATGGCAGTAAGAAAGTTATGGTACTGTCCCTTTATACCAAAAAGATTATAAACAAGATGTCCCAAAAGCAACTTAAATGACTGCAGGTGTTTAAAATAGAACTCATCATTTCATATTTATGAAAACATTCCTGAGGCATGTTTATGAGCTGAATGGACTACCAAGGATATAATGTTATGTTTAAAGCCCCCCTAGCAATACTGAAGAATGTTGAAATACATACTCTTCCCAAATTAACCCATCAATGTGATAGTGTGAACATTGGGAGGCCTCTTATTAGTCATGTAATCCAGTCCCCTCACATATGGAAAAAAATCAGTCCCACGGGGTCCACTTTGAATGCTTCCAATTTAGGAGCTTACTTCATTAAATAGCTACTATGGTAAATGTTCTCAAATCTGCCTTCCTCTAACTCAGTAATTCTCAGCTAGGGTGATTATGACCCCAGAGGACATTTGGTAAGGCGTTTACTGAATACTTTTACTCGTCACATCTGGA